AAGAGGCTGTCCCGGGGCTCAGGGCAGGGGTTGGAGGAGTTCAAGAACGAGGTGATCCTGATCGCCAAGCTGCAGCACCGCAACCTTGTGAAGTTGCTAGGGTGCTGCATCCAGGGGGAGGAGAAGATCCTGGTGTACGAGTACATGCCCAACAAGAGCCTGGACGCCTTCCTCTTCGGTACGACCCAAATCCACTCATGCATGCACAGCAAAGCTCTGTTCTACAGTAGCGAGCAGAAAACAATTTGCAGAGAGAGACTGACTGACGGGTGCTTGGCATGCAGATCCGGCGCGGCGAGGGCTGCTGGACTGGAAGACGAGGTTCCACATCATCGAGGGCGTCGCCCGTGGCCTCCTGTACCTCCACCGTGACTCGCGGCTCCGCGTGGTGCACCGGGACCTCAAGGCCAGCAACATCCTGCTGGACCGCGACATGAACCCCAAGATCTCCGACTTCGGCATGGCGCGCATCTTCGGCGGCGACCAGAACCAGGTGAACACGAACCGCGTCGTGGGCACGCTGGGTTACATGTCGCCCGAGTACGCCATGGAGGGCCTCTTCTCCGTGCGCTCCGACGTGTACAGCTTCGGCATCCTCATCCTGGAGATCGTCTCCGGGCGGAAGAACAGCAGCTTCCACCACATGGAAGGATCCCTCAACATCGTCGGCTACGCGTGGCAGCTGTGGAACGCCGACAAGGGGGAGCGGCTCATCGACCCGGCCATCCTGCCGGCGTGCCCCGTGCGGGAGGCGCTGCGCTGCGTGCACATGGCGCTGCTGTGCGTGCAGGACCACGCGTGCGACCGCCCGGACATAGCCTACGTCGTCATGGCGCTCGGCAGCGACAGCTCCGTGCTGCCGATGCCCAAGCCGCCCACGTTCACGCTGCAGTGCACGTCGTCGGACAGGGACGGGATCTTCCCGGACAGGGTCGATGAGTCCTACTCCGCCTGTGACCTCACCGTCACCATGCTGCAGGGGAGGTAGCTAGGCTGGCAGGAATAGGATGAAGCGACAGGGAATTCCATTGGACGAAGCTGTACATATCCATGCCACACCACTACACCAGGTGCTTACTGAGAGGGATGTGTTTGGCATGCTTTCACTACGGTCTTCCTTTGCTCAGAGCCTCCAACATAGTACTCTGAGGCAGATGGCACCGTGTCCGACTCTGAGGCAAAACGCAAAAAAGCAAAAAGGTGTCCTACTCCACGCAAAAAGGAAAAAAAAAAAGGAAAAGCTGGCTTTGCAGTGCCTTGGGCCTTGGGCTTGCATGTGGACCTTTTCCGATGTCCTAGCCCAACAAGACTCGTTCTGGCTCTTATGGGCTGCGGCCCAATCTGTATTATATACGACATTACTGGCTCCTCGAAAAAAAAAGGGATACAGATTATTATTGTTCTTATTCTTACATCCCATTGGGTTGTATGATCAGACAACCCGTGACTTTCTTTCTTTAATATTTTCACAACTTTTTATTTTTTAGAAAGTCACAAAGCTATATTCATAACTTTTGTGCAAAATATTTTGTTGATAAAACTTATCATCACAATTTTCTATTATATCCTTTTTATAGACAAATTATCGTGAAAACTATTTTATGGCTTTTGCAACCGAACTTATATACATAATAACTTTTCTAGCACAGTTTTTATATAATAAATTTTACAAATAACATATGTTGAACACATAAGTTTTTGTTGCCCAATATTTTTAAAATAATTTGTTCCGGACAAACTTTGAATTCTAAAAAATATATTCATACTATAGAAGAAAATTTGACAGATTAATATAAAAATAAAATAAGAGAAAATAAAAGGAGAAAAAAGTTAATACTGTGGCACGGACAACCACCGTTGTTCGCTCGAAACCGAATCAATGTGTCTCTATAGGCATAGGCAATGCAAAAACAGAATTAGATACTACCACAGAGTCTTTAGAAGGAAATACATATAAAAAATATCAACAGAAACGAGGTACTTATTTCTACCAGGATCTTCTACTTGCACACTGCAAATCCTACAACCTCAGCCACCGCGAGGCCGAAAAAGATGACCCACAACCACAAGAAACCCTCGCCTGATTTTGATACTCCATTTTTACCAAAGGAACAAACCACCAATTAGGCAATTAGCACCATTTGAGTGTCATGCCTAAAATTTCATCCTACAGGTTATAAACACCATAACTAAATTTTCAGATTTTATAAGAACTTTTTATTCAAAAAAAAAAAACTGGACAAGATCCTATGGATAATATAGCAGTTTTAAAGGTGCACTGTCACAATGGCTAAGGTGCATCACAGTTATAGCATTAAATACTTAAGGTCACCTTTTGTCAGACATTGTGGTTTCCCTAATTTCACATTGTCTAGACGAAGAAGTAAAATAAAAAGAAAAAGTCTACTTAACCCCCCACCTTTCATACTTGGTCTACTTCACCCCAACTATGAAACCGTCTGTTTTACCCCCTAAACTTTACAAAACCATCTATTTTACCCCCGGGCGGTTTTGACCGCGTTTTGGTACAGTAACAGCGTGTTTGATACAGTACGGTGGGTTTGCTACAGTGTCGGTAGGTTTGAATTTTCTTTTTTTTATTTATTTTCGGTGAATTTTTTAAAAATCATACAAAAATCATAAAATGAAAAATCTAATTTTATTGGACTCCACGTGAGTAGATCTACACAGTGAATATATAATACGGTATGCTTTAGTACAATTTTTTTGTAGCTTTAGATTAATTGGAAAATCCAATTTTTTCTGTAATTAATTAGAATTTATCTATAACTAAGTTATACATAGTCTAATGAGTACGAAATTTTTACTATAGTTCAAGCATATAATAATTAGCGTACCATAAAAATTTCACCACAATTGGACCATAGAAGCTGCAGCTATGAATTATTCCAATTAATTACAGACAAAATTAGATTTTCCAATTAATCTAAGGCTACAGTAAAAAAATTCACCACAATTGGACCATAGAAACTGTAGCAAAACCGCTATCAAAAACCGCCCGGGGGGTAAAATAGACGGTTTTAGAAAGTTCAGGGGGGTAAAACAGACGGTTTCATAGTTGGAGGGTGAAGTAGACCAAGTATGAAAGGTGGGGGGTTAAGTAGACTTTTTCCAAAAAAAAAAAAAACATATATGCAATTCAAAAGGCTCTATTTAGCATTGAATATAATAAAAGAAAATGCCAAAAGTTGAATCTCTTGATGCCTTGTAGTGTATCTTCACAATGAGTATAGTCATCACCAACGAATTTTACTTCTTTCATACCTGCAAACTCACGAACTCTTACATGGAAGTGTCCTGCATATAGAGAGATCGTGGCAAAGAGGCAGGAAGAGGAATGGCAATCCTATCCATGGTTGTGGGTATACGCGAATATATTATAGAGTGGATATTAAATTTCATCGAGGGATGCATATGGGTACCAGAATATACCAACGGTACAGGTGTGGGTATGTCGTCTCACCCGTTAGTGCTAGAACTACATAGAATTTCATCTATTCTAATAAAAATCTAACTCGAGTACAAAATTCTACCTGCGGGTACGGTCGTGGGCATGAAATTTTATCCAATAGACAATTTATCACGAGCAGGTATTTAATCCATCCATATGTTACCCAACTCTCTACCATCCCTAGAAGCTGCAGTAGGCGAGTGGTGGCGGCGACCGATGAGCCCATCCCCATTGTTCCTGACCTATGCTTGTTCCTCAGTTTTGTTTGATCGATGAAGAATAAAATACTTTCTTCCGTAAAAAGATATTATTCCCACTTCTCGAGAGTCACTCAATCTTAACTTTGATAAAATAATATAAAAAACTAAAAATTTAATATTTATAATATGTAATAAGTATTTTAGATAAATAATAAAATATATTTGCGTAATAAAAATATTTGGAGGTAAAAAGATGATATTATTTTCTATAAATATCGTCAATTTTTTGGAAGTTTGTCTTAGTATATAAACCTAAAAGATGATACTTTTTTTGGAGACAGAGGGTGGAGGGTGTATGTTGGTCATTAATCTCCAAACTACAACGACTAGACTGCCCTTGATAATTATGTAACTAATTAGTTCCTTTTAAGATCAATCAAATGGCTTAAAAGCCATAAGGAGGAACCGCACCCTTTCAGTAAGGCCCCGTTTAGATCCAATTTTTTTTGAATTTTGGCTACTGTAGTATTTTCGTTTGTATTTGATAATTAGTGTTTAATTATGGACTAATTAGGTTCAAAAGTTTCGTCTTCGCGATTTCTCATCTAACTATGTAATTAGTTTTTTTTCTTCTATATTTAATACTCCATACATGTGCCGCAAGATTCGATGTGACAGGTACTCGCAAAATTTTTTGAATTTAAACGGGCCTAACTCGCAGAATGAGTTCACCGGCGTCGGAGACTACCCTGCTGCTGCTGGGATTCAGCGGGTGGTTGTGTGCCGTTTGACTTGACCGTATCAGGCAGACAGACATCTTCTAGACCTCGCACATACCGCGTACTACTGGACCACTGGGGTAGGCCCATACGCAACCCCCGTCGGGCGTGTTTAGTTACGAAAAATTTTTGCCTGGACCACTGGGGTTTAATTATGGATTATTTAGGCTTAAAAGATTCGCAACCCCTCATCAGTTTTAGCTTTTTTTTTTCGCTCACATTTAAGATTTACATGATGCCGTAGAAGATTCGATGTGATTTAATATCATTAGCTCATTTTGAGGTTTGACCGACCGTGATGCCTACTCGTAGTAGCACCAGGAGAAAAACGCATTCTTTTTCCCGGAGTCCTCGTTCCGTCAACAGATGAGACGCTGCTTCCAGAGGCCGCCGTCGGCCGTCGGCCGTCGGGGAAGAAAACAGAGACTAGCAAGGCAATTCTACCCGTGTCAGAACTCAGAATGTCTCAAAACATCACCATCAGCACCCACTTCCCAATCACCGTAGCAGAGCCGAGCCGAGCCACCGCAGCTGTAACCGGTGTTACGGTCAAGCTTGGCTTCTGGATCCTCGCACGTTGAAATGCAAAAGCGGATGCGCACCAACGTTCCGCACGGGGCCGGCGGCGGTCGAGGCAGGTGAGGGTTCAATGGATTTGCCGTTTGCACAAGCATGAAGCATCCCGGTAAAAACTTGCAGTGCTGACGGGTAGAATTCTACCTCGTCATAGTTGGGCTGCGTCGGTTGCCCTTGTGCTGGCCGAATAGTCGCGAGAGCCATGGCCGCGGGTGCGCGGCCACCATTAGCTCTGTTGCTTCCCCTGTTCGTTACTTTCTTCTTCTCCTCCCCTGCCTCCGCCTCCGCGGCTGACACCATCACCGCCAACTCTTCCCTCAGCGATGGCCAGACGCTCGTTTCAGCCGCCGGAGTGTTCCAGCTGGGCTTCTTCACCCCGGCCAGCTCGACGGCGAGGTTCTTGGGCATCTGGTACATGGGCCTCGCTCCCCAGACCGTCGTCTGGGTCGCCAACCGGGAAGCCCCGATCACCGGCGCCACGGCGAGCCTCGCCATCAACGGCACCGGCAGCCTGGTGCTCGCCGATCCCTCAGGGCAGGTGTTCTGGTCGTCGCCGCCGCTGTCGAACGTGAGCAGCACCGGCGTTGCCGCCCCGGTGGCGGCGCAGCTGCTGGACATCGGCAACTTCGTGCTTCGAGGCGGGGGGCGCCGGCGCCGGCGCCGGCGCCGTCCTGTGGCAGAGCTTCGACTACCCGTCCGACACACTGCTCCCGGGCATGAAGCTCGGGTGGGACCTGACCACCGGGCTCGACCGGTACCTGACGACGTGGCGGAGCCCCGGCGACCCGTCCCCGGGCGACTACACGTTCGGGTTCGACCTCCGTGGCGTCCCCGAGGGGTTCATACGGCGCGACGGCACGGCGCCCGTGTACCGGAACGGGCCGTGGAACGGGCTGCAGTTCAGCGGCGAGCCGGAGATGGAGCCCAACAACAGCAACTTCCAGTTCGAGTTCGTCGACAACGCCAGCGACGTGTACTACACGTTCCTGGTGGACGGCGGCAACGGCAGAGGCAACGGTAGCGGCGGCGGCGGCGTCGTCTCGGTTCGTGCTGAACCAGTCGAGCGTGCAGCGCTACGTGTGGCCGCCGGGCGGGCAGGGGTGGAGCCTCTACTGGTCGCTGCCGCGGGACCAGTGCGACAGCTACGGGCACTGCGGCGCCTTCGGCGTCTGCGACACCAGCAGCGGGTCCGCGGCGTGCGCCTGCGTGCGCGGGTTCACGCCGGCGTCGCCGCGGGACTGGGAGCTCAGGGACAGCTCCGCCGGGTGCAGGCGCGTCACGCCGCTCAACTGCACCGGGGACGGCTTCCTGCAGCTGCGCGGCGTCAAGCTGCCGGACACGACCAACGCGACGGAGGACGCGGCCATCACCGTCGACCAGTGCCGGCAGAGGTGCCTCGCCAACTGCTCCTGCATGGCCTACGCGGCCTCCAACATCAAGGGCGGCGACAGCGGCTGCATCATCTGGAACTCGCTGCTCATTGACATCAGGCATTTCCATTCCGGTGGCCAGGATCTGTTCGTTCGCCTCGCGGCATCTGATCTGCGTACGGTTCCCCTCAGCTCATCTCTTTTCAACTCTTTGTTGATTGACATCTTGCCTTCCAAGGATAACAAATTTGATTTTGCAAGAATAATAATACTTTTGGTTAGATGAGGTTATCAAGATGGAATTTCTTTTCAGAAACCCAGTCACCTAGCTAGACAGAAAGGGAGCTGTAAAGCATATGAAATCTTCTGGAAAACACAAACCATTTATACTTTTGAGTCATATATACTACAGGTTTAAGGAATCATTAGGAGAATGATGGTTAGGATTCTTCGACAGAAGAATTAATTAGATATATACTAATATTAACCATGGCCCATAAGCTTTCTAATTGTTTTTGATGAAAAAGCTTTCTAACTGTTATTCTATTACTTGTACCATGAGGCATGAGCTCCTGAAATTACAGATAAGTGCATCTTTAAGCTTGATAAGCTTGAATTGACCAGTCCTCTACCAATATCTAGATAATCAATATACTACTTTGTCTAATGCTAATGCGAGTTAAGCTTGATGAGCTCATGTTGCTTGCAGGAACAAGTACCTAAGGCTAATGCAAGTTAGCGCCGGTCGTTTTCAATTTCGGACTTGATATTTCACATAGATTATCGTTCTCTTTATATATGTTACTAGTCATCATGTTGGGTTCAACTTAACAAACATTTCGGTTCCCTTCAAGTTATTGTGTACCAAAGTAGCCTGGAGTGAACCAAGAGAGGAAAATGGCCATATTTCAATTGGGTTTGATAATCAATATACTACTTTGTCTGCTCTAAGATATGGTAGGTTACCACCACACCAGGGTTGTTTTCTTGTACTTGCCAACTGCACGAGTTTGATCTCCTGAATCACAAGCAAACGCAAACAACACAGAAGGAAAATATCATGTTGATGTTGCAAGTGCTAATACGTGGCAATCAGTAATTATTTAAGAAGCCATTGAGATTTTTTTTTTGGAATGCTATTGGGTTTTGGGGGTTTCTCTCTTTCAAAGCAACAGCCCTTTGTCAATCATTTGGTAGTAGCAGAAGCAGTAGCTGGTGTGCAAAATTCATACATACAGTACGACAAAATCAATGTGCCTCAACCAGCTAACGTTTCCACGATGATGTCGACAGCCTCCAATGGAGACGGTTCCAGGAAGAAGAACACAGTCATCGCCGTTCTCGTAAGCTTATCGGCCATTCTCCTTTTCGGCTTCGCCGGATTCTTCATCTGGAACAGGCTTTTCAGAAACAAAGGTGAGCCCAAGCCACCCGTTTTCCGAAACAAGGGAGAAATCGACGACAGTTTTGCTGCAAATAAATCCATGTGCTAATCTAATCCTGCCTCTGAAACGAAATTCTGCGATACAGGGAGGTTTCAGAGCGCGCAGAGGTTCAACTCGTTTGACTCCAGCGTCCCTCTTACTCCGGTCCAACTCCAAGACAGGAGCAAGGGCAAGGAGGACGAAGCCGGTCAGAGCAGCGACCTGAACGTCACGCTCTTTGACATGGACGCCATAGCTTTCTCCACTGATAACTTCGCGGCGTGGAACAAGCTCGGAGAAGGCGGCTTCGGCCCGGTGTACAAGGTAGGTGGCAAGAACAGGCAGATCATGCATGTAACATGTGCAAATTGGTTTGAACTGAACATGATGATTGAGAGCGATTGATGCGATCGAACGGAACGGATTGGATTGGATTCAGGGGCAACTGGAAGGAGGGCAGACGGTGGCGGTGAAGCGGCTGTCCAAGTACTCGACGCAGGGGCTGGGCGAGTTCAAGAACGAGGTGATGCTCATCGCCAAGCTGCAGCACGTGAACCTGGTCAGGCTCCTGGGCTGCTGCGTCCACGGAGAGGAGAGGATGCTGGTGTACGAGTACATGGAGAACAAGAGCCTCGACAACTTCATCTTCGGTATAACAACTTCAGAATTCAAGTCTTGAGCTGTTGAGCATTTCACATTCATTCAAATTGTTTTTACTAAAATATGATGATGTGATATATGTGTGTGTTTGAGCAGACAAGAATCGATCAGTGCAGCTGCATTGGCCCAAGAGGTTCGACATCATCCTGGGCATCGCACGGGGGCTCCTGTACCTGCACCAGGACTCCCGGTACAAGGTGATCCACCGGGATCTCAAGGCCGGCAACATCCTCCTGGACAAGGACATGAACCCCAAGATCTCCGACTTCGGCGTGGCCAGGATCTTTGGCGACGACACCGACTCGCACACCAGGAAAGTCGTCGGAACATAGTAAGCACACCCCGGTTGGCTATCTGTGCTCTGCAACTGACCCCAATTGGCTATTTATTTAACTGTTCTTGGCACGATGCACGCAGCGGGTACATGTCTCCGGAGTACGCCATGGACGGCGTCTTCTCGGTGAAGTCCGACGTGTTCAGCTTCGGCGTGCTGGTGCTGGAGATCGTCAGCGGCAGGAAGAACCGGGGCATGTACAGCAGCGGCGAGCAGACGAGCCTCCTGAGCCAGGCGTGGAAGCTGTGGAGGGAAGGCAACGCGCTGGCGCTGCTGGACGAGGCGGTGGCACGCGCCGGCACGCACCGGACCTCCGAGGTGCTGCGCTGCGTGCAGGTGGCGCTGCTGTGCGTGCAGGAGCGGCCCGACGACCGGCCGCACATGGCTGCTGTGTTCCTGGCGCTCGGCAACCCGGGCGCGGTGCTCCCGCAGCCCAGGCACCCGGGCTACTGCACCGACCGGGGCTCCGCGTCCACCTACGGCGAGTGGTCGTCAACCGGCACCGTCAACGACGTCACCGTCACCATCATGGAAGGACGGTGACGCCACGTGGCGCGCGCCAGTCCTGGGCCATGCTGCTCGGATGTGAGCTGTGAGCCTCCCATAGATAAGTGACATTTTAAGGTTGTTCGATAGCCATTTTAAACTTTTGACATACTCCAACACGACCATTCTTTTAGTATTGAACAATTGATAGATTTTTTTTTTGAGGAAGTGATAGATATTTCCATTTATGACATAAATACAAACTCCTTTTTCGTCAAAATAAGTCGATATCTGAACCACGTACGGCATACTCACGAATCATCATCATCATGATACTGAATTCAATACCGAGTTCACAGAAGAAACTTACAGTTACGGCAGAGTTTCGACTCTTCGTCATCGTCTGCTTTGGCCTCATCTATGGAACTGCGTGGTTTCAAACTCGAGGACGATGCAGTGTGGACGTGCCAGATCCCAGAGATGCTTCTGCGCCTCCCGACTCAGAGAAACGTCTTTTCTTGTGTGGATGGCCATCCTCCTGAGTTTGATCTTGCACCCAAACAGCAGCTTCAGGAACTCGGTGTCATCCTCAGCTCCGGTGAAACTAGTGATCTCCAGCTCCTCCAGCGAATCCAGGGTGATACCGTCAGTTTTCCAGCTTCCAGGCTCCAGACATTTACAGCAATGACTGCACAGTGATTTCTTCAGGAGAAAACACACACAAAAAAACATCGGGGTTAGCTTACATATTCTATACTATGCATAATTTAAATTCAGCAATTGAGCAGTATTCTAGTTGGGTTGTCGGTCGGTGTGCCGTGGTGGCGGTGAGCTTAGTCTCCAGTTGTTTGTTGTAATTCTTTTTTCTTGTTCCTTTTTGCTCATCTAATAAAAATCCGGCAAATCTCTTGCCGCCTTTCTAAAATAAGCAGTATGTTTTAGTTATTTAATGTCTCCTGTTAATTTTTGTTTTCTTTTAAAGTCATTAGATTACTGGAGCGTCATGACTTTTTTTTCTCAAACACACGGTAGAGCTACATATCATTACATAATTAGCAGGTATTAAATTGCTTTGTGCTTCTTGCTAGTCCGAAGAACATTTTGGCTATATATGACCCAACCCAAATTTCTTGCCGGATTGCACTACCACTTGTATTGATCTACATCCACTACCAGTTTACGAGTCCTAACCAAACCTTGTGCCACCAAAAGTGAAGATAAATTCTCAAGATAACAATAAAAATGGAATTGACACCGTGTCAGCCTCATGATAAAATTGCAAACTTGACCCTAACCTCGCTGATGGGGTCCAAATGTTCCCGTCAACTAAAGGATTTAGTGGTTTCAGCCAACTGACATCTAGAGTTTCCATAAGGATTTATTTGGCAAATAGGAGCTCAAAATCAAATAATGTGAAAATCGATTAAAGTGACTCACCCAGCTGTTCACTGGGAGGAGGTCGATCTTAAGCTTTGTTAGCCCAGTAAACTTCTTGAGGAGATGCAGCATCGCTGGCCCTAAATGTTGTTTCGCCGATAACCCTTTCACTTCTAAAACCTTGGTCTTGGGAAACTCTTCCATATCTCCTACAATTTTTTTTTATCCCTGCACGCCCTGTGAGTAAAAGTAAAAAGGAAGTTAATGTTATCCCATTTGGAAAAAAAAAGGTATTGCTCTAGAAAAATTACACAGCCTTTCGGAACCTAGGATTCACAAAAGCAATAAATATAGAAAAATTACACTCCCTCTGAATCTCTGATCCCAGTATATAAGACGCCCATGCATATTAAGGTTTAACCTTTACAATCTTTGAGCAATAATTTTTAACTACTGTAATACAAATCTTGAATGGTTAGATTAGTAATTATCTGTACTACCCAATACTCATAAGTTTATAATAATAAAGTATATATAAAATAAAATAAAAAGTCCATCCTTCCAAAGGGGAGCATAATGTGTGCCAATTAAATTCAGGGTGCGTTTGGAAGGGCTCCAGATCCACGTAGAAACATTTTGGATCCAGATTCTCTCAAAAATATTTCTAATTATAAATTAGAATCACTTTAGAGAACCATTTGGCTGGCTAAACCGGATCCTGATTAAAAAAATCATGTAAATAAAAATATTTCAAAAAAATCAAAACTTTTTGTGGATGGAGAACAGCTTAAATACAAACCATTTTAATTTGCACTAAAAAAGAGTTAACTGAAAAAAGAAAAAAAATAAGAAGCAATGAGATGAGAATCTCTGCAAAACCAGCCTCCTCCTGTTTCATGCACTTGCGTATGTAGAAACGGTGAAACGTTTCGGTTCTGAATCATTTGCGTTTATAAGTGAGTCAGGTGAATCTCATCAGAAACTGAATATATTTCGGATCCTCCTTTTGGAAGCTTAATGAAGTAACCCAAACTTAGGTATGTGGATTTAGGGTGGCAACCTCCGATCCGGTTTGCAAACACAAGCTCCAACATACTGTTGAATAATAATCGACGCTCTGATGATGTTAAGAAAAAATACGCTCTTACTTACCGGCAACATGGACAGATGGAGGGACATCTTGTCGACGGCATCAAATCGTTGAAACAGCGCCGTGTTGGATCGGCAGGTGACTGCTAGCCTGTAGATTTGGCGATCGGCATCCTTGATGCTATGGCGGCTAGGGTCATAGCTGTGATTCCAAATCAGATCGGCCAGCATGGGGGCGACGATGGTAGCTGCCGCAGATCTGTCTCCACAGTTTTCCAAAGCCAGGTAGTATAGGCTTGGTGCAGCAACCACGATCCGGTCCTTTTTGCTGATGCCGCTGATGCGTCTGAACACAAGCCGTTGTAGCGACGTGGAGCTGATGGAGATGTGGCCGGCGGCGACGACGCCGCCCACGTTGCTCATCTCGAGCTCCCGCAGGCGCGGGCACTGCGTAGACACGAGGTGGCCGACGTCGCCGTGCACGAACTTGCCCCCGTTGATCCTGAGGGCGCGCAGCGACGTGAACGCGCCGGCACCCAGTCGGAGCTGGAAGTTGATCCTGGCGAGCTCGATGCGCGTCGCCCTCTCGTTGACCGGCAGCTCGATCAGCCTACGAATCTTGTGTCCCGTCGAGATCCCCTGTGCGCCGGCGAGGCGCAGCGATGCGAAGTGCAGCCAGTGCGCGATGCGTGGCACGGGGGTTGACGGGTCCACGTCGAGGGTGAGGCGGTTCAGCTCGGCGGAGGCGGAGTAGGCGTCGACGGCGTCAGCGGTCGAGGAAAAAGCGCCCGGCGGTGCCTTCGGCTCCACGTGGAAAGAGAGCTCCGGGACGCATTTCCACAGGCCTCGCCAGCGGCGGGAGAGGACGCTGGTGCGCGCGGCGGCGGCGGTGGTCGGGAGGCAGGCGAGGATCGCCTGGATCACCTCGTCCGGGAGAGCACTGATGCGGTCCTCCGCGACCATGGTCGCTGCGCTGTGCTGGACTGCTGGTGGTGCCTTGTCAATCTGCCGGCTGCGGCGCCTACTAGTAGGTTTTTTCCCGTCGTGGAAAGGAGTTAAGAGTAATTTTAGGAAACCGATCCCCTTTTCCTGCAAAAAGAGGATTATGAAAAAAAAACGTACTCTGACCGATCTTCTCTCCGACCCTCTCTTTTCCCAAAATTTTTTCTCAATTCCTAAATCACCCTCTCTCTCTCTCTCTCCTCGAAACAAAGGGATCAGGCAGTAGTTTTCCTCAACCCCTTTCCTTCTTCCTCTCTCACTGAGTCACTGACATCTGGGGTCCACGGCTCTGACCCTCTCTTTTCCCAAAAAATTCTCAATTCCTAAATCACCCTCTCTCTCTCTCTCTCTCGTGAAACGTCCGGCTATCGACCTCAACCCCTTGCTTCTTCGAGCACGGTGTCCACGGCTTGCAGAGCCGTTGTCGCGATGCGCACGCCGCTATCGCCTCCTTGCTCGGCGCGGCGCGCATGCGCAGTTAGTTGCACCCGCTTTTCCGAAGCTAAATGGGCCTTCGAATGAAGCTAGACCGTGGCTGACACAGAAACTGAAAAGCAGGTGCAACTAACTACGCATGCGCGCCGCTATGGAGCCACAGCCCGTGCGCGTCGCTTCCCCTTCTAGCGCACGCATGCGAGGTCGGCCCGCGTCCACCCTCCACGCTCGGTCCAACAAAAAAAGAAACGGACCAGGAACAGAAAGTGCGTATGTTCTGGTTCCGGACGTAAAAGGAAACAGCCTGAAAGCACGGATCGCTAGCGCGACTGGTGCACACGCGTTGAATAGTTTTTGGGTCCGGCTAGCCGCCACCGGTAGGCCAGCCGTGTCAGCTGCCGCGTCAAGCCCGCTGAGGCTCGAGCACAAATCATGTTTTCTCAATCCTCTATTGTGAGTTTTAAGAGAAAGGGGAATAGAGATCTAGTGGAGTTGGTCTAAAGCGTCGAGGTAGGAGGAAGCCTCATTAGCTATTCGCTTATCGCATAGAGTTTATGACGTAAAAGCAACACTTGTATACTTAGGGTTTTGTTTGGATGTTGTCGTGTTCACATGAATCCACGTGTGCTAGATTGGATCAGAGAGAAAATTAATTATTTTTTACCCAAAATCCGCCCAAACACATGAAGGGCTTGTTTAGATGAACTCATATCCACCTTAATTAATTTTTACTCTACTTCCATGGTAGAATAGACAAAGATTGTAGTGTGTGGGCAGACGAATGTGTATGTTCTATCATTGTAGGTTGATGTAACGAGACAATTGTTCAGTGACAAATCCGGAAGTCGCACAGTTCGGCAATCGTGTCCCTGCATAGATAATAAGATCAAGTTTCATCTACATAATTTCATATGCAAAGCGTTTTCACAAATCGATGTTTTAAATTTTAATGTAAATAAAACTCCCTCAGAACTCCTTTGAGACTTGAAGCTAAAACTCCCTTGAACTCTTCAGAACCTTTAAGCTCAGTTCAGAATATACTTCAGGGCCAGTTTAGAGCGCAATTTTTTCATTGTATATAATTTAATCTATGTTGGAATATAGAAGAATTTCCACATTCCAGGAGAGGCATGAAACTAGCAAAAACTCTAAAACCTGATCCAAAACTGCATCGGTACCATCCGAAAGATTGCCACACCCCTAGCAGACTAAAAAAACAGCGGGTAAATGCGGAGGAAGGATAATTCAAATATACCATTTTTTTTTTTGCAATGAGAATATAAAAAGTTTGTAGTGAATCATTAGTATCAAAGTGGAGGTGAATCAGCCTTTCTGTGCCATAATACAAATCCTACCAATACAGAGAAGTTGCAGGCTGTTCCATTTCCATGAAAAGGCTTGCAATACCTTGCTCAATGAAAAGTAGGGTTCAATTCAAGATTACCCAACTAGTTTTTCTACTGATGCATATATAGAAGTGTGTATGCTTACACAAATCAACACCTTGCGATCAGTACTAGCATTCAACCCATGTTTTGCTCAATCATCAAACTGAGCAAATTTTGCCATCAAGCAGCCCTAGGTGCCTAGGTAATTCTGAGCCCCTTTATGATTGTAAATGAGATCAAGCATCGGAAAAGAAGTGAGAAAATTTCACATATGGTTTCTAAAAGATGTAAATGCACACATAAGCTGTAAGCACAGTTGTTAGCAGAACAGATACTGCATTAACAGCATCGTTGTCTAGGATAGTCATCCCAGAAATCTTTGTAACCGTGGGACCCCTTTTGCTGACCACCTACAGAGCAACAATAAAATATTATCATATGGAAGTTGCAAGATAATAATTTGCAAAAAACTCATTAATTTTCAAACAAAGTCAAGCTTGTCAATATATTTTACTGCAAGAGAGACCCCCGCTTGCAGAAGGAGCAAATTCTGGTATCATTCTAAATGATTGTTTATATTTGAAACATCCAAATGTACTCGTTCTGGTCTTGTACAAATATCAGAACTGTTAACATGCGTATAGAAGAAGCCCTATTGATATTCTACTTTGAACATGATGATAAAATGAACAGATGTTTTTGTGCCCTTTGCAGTTATCACTGACTAAACATCTTAAAGCAGAGGAAGATAATAAAGCGATAAGTACTATCACAATGCACTAGTCGCCTCTTGATGCAATCTTCAATGAAAAAGCAAAGGCTTTCAGAGACTGTTCTTTTCTCCAATAGCATATTACCAAGGTGGCACAGAACAGTTTACCTTCTTCCGAACACTGCAGTACCCACTAAATTGGAGTGTAGCTCCCAGCAATGAATCAATTAGACTCCCAAGCAAACCAGCTGCAGCAGAGATGGGTAGTACTAGGAGCTGCCAGAGGGCCATGTCGGAATAACATTCAGCAGTCAACAGTCCAACAACAACGAAAGTGAGACCAATGATAAGGCCTCCTCCTGTGGCAGCAAGAAGTCCTTGTAAGGTCACTCCACCATTTGTACCCTTCCTGACAGGCTTGTAGAGCAATACTGTTATCAGCTCACAGATAAACACTACAAAAAGAGTAATATTCATTTGAGAATTCGCCAGCCCTTCTTGGTTACAAAAGCAAGTCATTTAGCCTTCTCATTTTATTACTAATTGTAAGCCACCCAAGCAATTCGAGGCTCATTTCTATTTTGTTCTTCCTTCCATGCCCAGCTAAATTAATGCTACCACTTCATGTGTAAATAACACATCTTTGCTACTGTAGTATAAATGAAGGGCAACAAAATCATTTATCTACTTCGGTAATCCTCATTCACAAATCTAAAATGACTTACATTTGGAATGCGATAGGGTAAAATCTATACAAGAAATGGAAATGAAACAGTAAATATTCTGTCTAATATGTAGAAAACAATAATAGTCATAATCTGTTACATGGTGTAGCCAACATAGTTAGTAACTTAGTACGAAAAACAACTACTCCCCATTAATGCTAATTGTAAATACTCGGTAGTGCACGCAAAGAAAAGGACTCTCAATACTCATTTGTCCTAGTACTCTATATTAGATCAGCTTATGAAAAAAATTACAGTGAGCTCTTACGCCTTAAATTCTACTTCTTTACAAAACAGCATATTGGAATTAGTAATATATTCAATGGTTGAACACACAACCCACCAGGGAAAAAAATCTGAGCATAAAAGGAGGGAAGTGGACAAGGTCATTGGTTTTTGTCCCAGCTTGGCACATCAGGAGAAAGGTTTCACATGATTGTCTACGAAATGCATGCACTGTGCATTTTGTATGTGATAATATCTGTACTGTATTAGGCCAGGCAGGCATACTGTATGCTTACCTGATGAGGAAGTGATAGATCTTATGGGTTTGCTTAATGTGATGACTCAGTTCTTATTCTTATATGTTAGTTCAATGCCACAAAGAATTTGGATATGGCTAGAAGGGTAGTAAGCCCATAAACTTGGAGTTTGGACATTTCAGATCATTTGACCAGAAATCAAATATGGTGGCTCTGTCCAGTCAAATTTGAGGTGCACAAGCCATGCACAGTAGGTTTGGCAGATTAGGAAAAAGAAGCCAGATTTTGCAGCCTGGCATGAACTACATATATAATCATGACTGAAGATAACACATGGACAACATTAGTACATAACACAGTATATCTTGTCGCATGGAAAAGGACACTTACCTTAAGGGTTGTAATAAGCCTTGGTTGTTCATTACTAAGCACACCGATTTCAGAGGACCAAGTATCTCCATTGCAGCAACAGTAGTGGCCAATGATACCACCTATAATACCAGTTATAAGCTTTGAACCATTTGAGTCCAAGCACTGATCTTGCCCTCCAGTCAATAGTGCAAATATCACAACCAGTACAGTGGCAATTGTGCTATTTGCTAGAACTTGGATCCTTTAAGATGTAAAGAGATATAGTAAGATACACCAGCAAGGTTAATTTGACAAAACTGCAGCTGCTGTGATATATCTTTTATGAAGTCTGGTGACATTCACAGCACAAATCATCAGTTATATGATTGAGAAAAGAAAGAAGAGGTTCACAAGATGTTTTTAACTTGCGTCGTGTATATTTTTTGAATTGAGCAAAGAATGTTACCAATTAGAGAATAATTTCAAGAAAATAGATTAAGCAACACATAATGCAATTTCATCATAGCAATTAAACATGTAAGACTTGCAGGGAAGTTCCCTAGAATTTATAACATTTTGGCTTAAGTTGGAGCTGCAATTACTGTTCCACTGTATGCATGCTGACAACAGCATAAAGTGCTAACTCTGAACAAAGATAGTAGTCACACACAACACAACTGAGAAGGAGGTATGTACTTTGGTAACCATACCAGGCTCTCTCTCTCTCTGTTGTATACGTGAGTTGAACACAGGATGTTCCTTTTTTTAAGTAGTCACTACTATACATAGAATTTCTACAGCAATTGTTGTGGGCACGTTACAAGGAAATGGTGAGACAGACACAGACAGAGAAGGGCTCTGATTTATGATAGGTGATAGCTGCTCAGCTCAGGCGCAAAACAGAGAGCAGATAATTCTGGGTGGGATTCGAAAATTCACCAAAAGAGAGTGCTGGTGGTTACCAGTTGCGCTGCCCGCCCTCCTTGAAGTCCTCCTCGACGCGGCGCTTGCGGTCCTCCCCGATCTTGGTTACCTTGGACGAGGAGAAGAAGAAGGCCAGCAGCAGCGCCCCGTACCTGTAGCCGCAGGCGATATGGATCGCCATGACGACGAAGCCGGCGGCCCCGCCCGAGGGGTCCAGGGAGCGGCGGCGGACCGCGCGAGCGGCGATGGCGGCCGCCAGCGCCGCGCCGACGGCCGACCGGACCGCGAGGGGGGAGGCGAAGGCGTTGGGGATAGCCATGGCGGGGCGGGCGCGCTGGTGCCGTTCGGGGTCAGCAGCACTCGGCAGTCAGCCGCGGGTCGCAACCGGAACCGCCGGTGGAGCGAATTTGTAGGGGAGCTGGGTGCGAAGCCGGAGAACGGAGATGACTCCCTGACCACGATGGCTTCTGTTCACTCTGCTATACTAGTCTCCTTCACTCTGCTGAAGTCTGTTCGGCGTTTTCACGTGCGAAATCACGTGGGAGACAAATAAATGGAGCACCATCAGCCTCCACATTTCCTATAATATTTTTTTTTATCAATGGCAGGTGCTCTGCCTTTTCATTTAGGCCTTGTTCTCTTTGCAAAAAATTTTAACCCGATGAATAGTACCACTTTCGTCTTATTTGGTAAATATTGTCCAATCGTGGACCAACTAGGATCAAAAGATTCATCTCGTGATTTTCAACTAAACTGTGTAATTAGTTATTTTTTTTACCTACATTTAATACTCCATGCAAGCGGCTAAAAATTGATGTGATGGAGAGAGAATGAAAAAACTTGGAATTTAGATGACATCTAAACAAGGCCTTACTAAGTTGGAGCTGTACATCAAATAAATGGAGTAGTAAATAGGAGTATCAATATGTACAGAGTTTCAGACATTCAGTTTATCCTTTGCCTTGCCCGTGGTTCAGATCAAATCAGTGTATTCTATACTTCACCTAGTAGAAAAGAAATTTCTGCTTGCGCTTAGTTCGTGCATATGCCGATCAAAGTATAGTGCTTTCTCTATAATCAATATGTTATTATCATGACGAGTTTTGTCATATCTTTAGAGACAAACTAAGAAGCCTAGAGCAGCATTCGGGCAACCAAAAAACACTGGCCGTCTGCATCCCATAACGCCAAAACGTAGGTAACCTTTTTTTCTCCAAGAACCTCAAATGTAGGTAAATCAAAACACACCCAAATTGGAGGCCATCAGAGGCACAAGCACAACACAAGTAAAAGGTACTACTAAATAGTTAAGAGAACAAAAAAGGGAAGAATTCATACAAAGCACTACATACTGAAAGTGAATTCAACACATAAGGCACTGAAATACAATATCCACCAAAGGTGCGTTTGGTTTGAGCACAAGTTTGGATGGAATATGGCCATTCATGGATATCTAAGCAACCAAATGCACCTCAACTTTATTGCTGTATGTTTTCTTTTGTAACTAATGCAAAGGCTACAAAAATCTCCATAGATTGCCATAATTCACCGCTTCAAAGCGGCGAATCCCTGAAGTCCGGGCCAGCTTGTGTGGACTGCACATTGATCACAAGTTTGTCATTTGGAACACAAATGATGTGTAACTCCTCCTGTATATACTTGCTGTGTTTGTTTTCTATGAGGGTAACGGTGACCCTGTTCTGAAAGGTTGCACTATATTGACACAGCATCGTAACGAATTCCACCTTGTAATATGCTGGCGTGAGTGCCCCTATTTCTACATGTTCAAGTAAATCCATGGCAATGTCTTCTTCCCCATGTCCCAGAATCCACGAATCGCATTGGCATTCCCATGCTATGCATCCACATTTATCCTGAAGGAAAATAAAAAATTCAACATATAAGACAAGAAATAGCCCAACTTCTGTCCCATGTGACATATATATATTGAATCATACAAATGTGAATAAACTATTTGTATTTTTTTTAACACAGACGTAGACCTCACAAATCATGCGTGAGGTTAGTTCACAGCAATCTCCCTATAGAAGAAAGTGTGTAAAAAAATGTGTAAAACTCATGCTCAAATTTCCCCACTTAGAGCATCTGCATGAGCCTTTCTAAAATTTACTTTTTAAATCATTATTTAGAGAGTCATTTGAATAAAAATCGTTTTCTATTGTATCCTCCAACAGCTCTTCTAAATCTTGTGCACACTTTAGAGTCATCACTCTTTATCTTTGGCTAATGAGAAATCCGAAATAGATGATGTCTATATTTGAAGATACAATTAAAGAGGTTGTTGGTGAGTATTTTTTTTCACCAAGATCTCTATTTCTAATTAGAGAGAATATAGAGAGTCTCTTAATGTTGCTCTTATACGATGTCATTCTAGATTTAGTTTGCATCATTTTTCGGTGTTATCAATCCATAGAAATTGGCATTTGGACCCAAGGACAAAAAAATGATAAAATTGCACACTTACGTTGTTACGCGAAACCAAATAATCCACCACGATCTTTTTCACACCAGAGCATTTCTTAAGAAGATGTAGCAAGGCTAGCTTAATGGCATGCCCGGCGAACCTGACCACCAAAACTTCACACTTAGAAAGTTTGCTGACGTCCTCCAAATATTTCTGGTATTTCTGAATTCCATGAAATCACATGATAGAACATAGAAGACGTCAAAGTCGGGATTATATATATTCTTTTTACTTAAGAGTAGAGATAGGGGTAGATAATATGTATTCATTTATATATGAGTGCTGCTATATATATATATATATATATATATATATATATATATATATATATATATATATATATATATATATATATAATCTATTTAATCTATTTGTGCAAACCCGTCACAAATGGCACATCAAATGGTTTAAAGCAATTGGTGGTTACCCTTTTTTTTCTTCAACACGCAAGAGAACTGCACGTCAATATATTATGACAAAACAAACGATCCAATTACAAGCCAACTCCACGGCATGAGTTAGTGTTTTTTAACACATACGCACCCTTTGAAGATGTAAACAGCCATATCCAGTAACTAACCCACACCTCTCCTAGAGCCTTAGCTCCAGCCATCACCCAGAGCACTGCTTGCTTAGCAATCTCCTGTAGCACCATCCGGACATCTGGGTTACATCCCTAAAACAAGCAACGGTTCCAATGCTTCCAGATTGTCTAGGAGGTTAAGATCACCAGTGTCATGCATTGGGGGGGTGGGCACGATGTCGTCGATACCACTTCTGGAACACATCAGGCTCTGGGGCTAGGTTTTGCAGATCCACTATACCCAACGTCAAACTCTCCAGACTTGCCGGGCAAAGACACATGATGTGAGCAGGTGCTGGACGGTCCCCACGTCCTGGTCGCACAACAAGAAGTCGGATGGATGTTGCAGCCCCTGACGTGCGAGGTGGTAGTCCGCTCTCCAGCATTTGTTGTGTGAGGCGAGCCGTAGGAACATCTTGTACTTCAGTGGAGCCCACGACTTCCACACCCTCTTGCCGGTTCAAACACACGGTGCTTCCAATAAAGGAACGTTGGTAAGCTGAGCGCGACGTGTAAACTCCCAAGGGATGCTGATCTGGTTGGTCGTCTCCGAACTGGACCTCTGGTAGAGCGACACGCGGTGGTCGACATTCTGAGCAACCAGCGGTTGAAGTAGTCCGTCTTGGCAGAGACGGCGTTGAGTACGCCCATCACTAGGATAAAGAGCACTGGGGAGAGCGGGTCTCCCTGACGCAACCCCTGACGATGCGAAATCCATTACCCTGGTTGCCATTCAGCATCACCCGTTTGGACGATGTACGCAGCAAGCAGCAGATGATGCTACACTATCGTCCCCATTTATACTAATCAAAAGAGTTCAAACCATCTAGATAGACCTTAGTTATAAAAACTGTTAGTCTCGCTTCCCAAATAGTTAAATATGTTTAACTCTGACTGAAAACTTATCTAACAGTTTCTATAGATTTATTCAAACTTAAAATTTAACAGCAAGAGTCCGTGACTCTTTTTTTTGAGACGGAGGAGTAAATGCTATAAATAATAGAGGTATGTACGTACCTTCCGTATCTCGACTGTCAGTTCCAACTCGTGGACAGTGTCAAACCGTAACATCAGGTTCGCTGCCAGAGAAATATTGGAGCCGATCTTCAGCCGCTGCAGATGTCGTCCGGCCTCCATGATACAGTCGCTGATCGGGTCATACGGTCCTTGCCAGCACACCTCCAAGAGCTTTGGTGCGACGGTGTGAGCGCCGCTAATAAGGAACCTCGGGGACAGTAACATCTCCAGCTTCGGGGCGATGACCTTGAGTCGGGTTAGAGTCGTCAAACGAACGATCTCGAGCCGCTCTAGCGAGTCAGAGAGTATGCCCAAGACAGGAGGCTCGTTGTCCAGGGCGACGTACTTGAGGAAGAGCTCCTTCGAGCGCGGGCAGCAGCGAGAGGACACGGCGTCTTCCAGCTAACGGCTGTGCACGCGGGCTTTCGGCTCTGTTCACTCGAGCTTATAAGCTAGAATCAGCTTTACTTTTTTAACTATGAAACATTATTTTTCTCTCACAACAAATTAGCCCTGCAAATCAGACGCAGCAGCAGTGAGCCCTGCCGAACATAGCCTTCGTTATCCTCAGCGCGGCCAGTGCCGCGAACGTGCCGGCGGCGGAGAGCAGGTGGAACCGAAGCGGGAGCATGTCGACGTCGAGCGTGATCGCTGTGGCCATCTCGCACGGTGGAACCACGATCTCGCCGCTCTGTCTTGACAGCCTATCGTGCCGCAGCGAGAGACGGAGCTCGCCGGCGACGCGCTGCGAAGCGAACTGCAGCAGCCACGGAGCAGCCTTTTCGCCTCCACCGTCCACGGCCACGGGGGCTTGTGGAGCCCAGCGCGGCAGGGCGACCTCGAGGCGCGTGACTGTCGTCGTCCCGTCGTGCGCGGCCAGGGCGGCATCTACGCGCTCGTGCCCGTGCCGAGATCTGATCGCGTCCGTATTCGTAGCGGAAGGAGAGCTTGGGGAGGTGCACCCAGAGGTGCCGCCAGCGGTGGGAGAGGACGCTGGTGCGCGCGGCGGCCGCGGTGTCGGCGACGCGGACCAGGATGCTGAGAAGGAGGTCGTCGGTGAGGCTGCTGATGCGGTCGCCGCCATCGCTGCAGCCCTCCGTGCGCATGGTCTTGGTCTCCACACCGCGGCTTCTTTCGGCGGCGGCGTGGATCTCTGCGATCTACTCTCTCTCTCTCTCTCTCTCTCTCTCTCTCTCTCTCTCTCTCTCTCTCTCTCTCTCTATATATATATATATATATATATATATATATATATATATATATATATATATATATATATATATATATATATATATATGAGCCTCAAGCAACTTGCAACTAAAGCCCCATTTGGCACGGCTCAGTCAAAACGGCTTCACCGGTGAAGCCAAAGCTGGTGAAGCTAGAAAAACTGGCTTTTCCCGGCTTCTAGTTTATTTTAACCCCGGCTTACAAAACGGCTTCATGCTACAGTGTCTCGATTTGCGCAAAATAGATGAAGTCGAAGCCGGCATAAGCCGTGCCAAAGAGGCCCTAAAAAAACCGGCCCGTGCGCCTAGGCTGGTTGGCCTAAGAATTCAATTTTTTGGGTCTGTTTGGTTTGTGGCCCCTCGTAACCAAGACAAAGTTTGACCTTAGCCAAAATTTAACTTGTCTTAGATTCCAAAAAAAAACTTGTCTTTGGTGGTCAAAATTTAGTCTTCGTGTGGTGGCCTGGACAAGCCAAAATTTAGCCAAACCAAAATCAGACCAAGCCAAAATTTAACCAAACCATGCACAAAAAATTTAGCCAAACAAAAATTAGTGCGCATGTTTTGGTTTTTCCCAACTGCGGAAGGATTATGAGTCGAGATAGGGAGTTGTTGGACTTGCTAAAAAAATCTAGATTGGGAGTGGGTTTTACAAACTCTGGGATATGCTCTTAATATCTCATTTATGTTAAGGTAATCGTGTAAATTAGGTATAAAATGGTGTAGGTAGAGTCTCTAGTTTCTATTGTAGGGACACGAATCCTTTCAAATCATGCAAATAGCTCCAAAACTGCATGATAAAAGGGAACAACCATGGAAGACACGAGCAAATATCCCTCCAAAAGGTAGCCTATGCACACAGAAGTCAATAGTAATAACATTAAGTCATCGCTAATATAACCGTAACAATCGACAGAGGACAACAAAAAAACAGTCTTTCATATTTGACCAGCAAACAGCAATGGACTCCCAAGTCCCAAACCTAAATCTAAAAAGAGCAGGGACCAAGTCTTGGTGCACGATTCACACAATTATCGGCCTATATCTTCACGCAGGGCTAGCTGACCGAGTCAACTAATACCAATCATGATCTTTGCACTGGCAGACATCCCTCTTATGCGACGAAGGACCACCCATCTCAAGTGTGGTGCTTGGGGGTGAGAACATCTGTATTTTCTTGTATACTTCCTCACTTAAAGGGACATCGTCAGCCACATTGATTACCATCTTTTTAAGTGTCTTCTTGCACCTGAATAGCAGCTTCACGAAGTCTACTTCTTCGTCGGATCCTGTGAAGAAATGGAATTCTACCTCCTCAAGCAAATCGAGGGCGACGTTGTCGGTCCTCAGCATCTCTTGTTGAACACAAGGGCAACGAAATAGTTTGCACAGTGACACCTGATCAAAAGAACAGCTCAGTCTATGCATGACCAATTTATAAACAACCATACAAATATAATGTAACATGTGTCCAGCAAATGTATACCATGAATAATTAATAATAAAGGAAAGCTTACTTTTGGTGCATCATGGTGGATCAACTCAATCTCCAACTTGGTAATGCCATCACATTTCCTGAGGAGATGCAGCAAGCTGGACTCAATAGAATGTGCAAGTACTTTTAGCCCCACTGTTAGAGCTTTGCTCTTGGGAAGCTTACTTGTATTCTCCAGGAATATACGGTATTCATCTGGGAACTGTCAACAGCATATAAGAACAGTGGATAAAGCTCCAGCATGAAGAGGAAAATCCATTCCCTAGAACAGATATATATCATGATAAAAGAAAACAAGACATGTATGCTTTAATTTCATCTCATGTTCCACTACTAGTCTACCACTACAATCTGCGTCAACCTTGAGTGTTCACACAGCTCCATATGTGAAAAATAAAAGGTTAAATTGACATTTACTATTTCTTAATTATATCTAGTTAGCTGTTAGTCTAGAGATCAATTATTTTCTTGAGAAAACTGTTAAAATCCTCCTGCAAATCGTTGGGAAAACAATGTCATCAAGGGAATATGAAAATCTTCTGGAAACAATAACAAACCTGGCAAAAGAATTGAGCTTGTAAAGTGAATAGAAGAATTAGTAATTAATTAAGTTATCAGTTTTAGCTTTATTTGGATGATTTGGCACATACTCCCTCTATTCCAAATTGTAACTCGTTTTAACTTTGTCCTATAAATCAAACTTTGACCAAGTGTATAGAAAAAATAGGTTGTATCAAATAAGTGTAGTATCAAAATATATTCCATGGTATATCTATTACTGTAAATCTTGTTTGATTTGTAGATGTTTTTCTTTTTGCATTTTTCTATAAGCTTGGTCAAAGCTATACAACTTACGGTTTGAAACGGAGGGAGTACATATCAGCTTGTAAAGTGACATATAGAAGCAACTTGTCAGCCTGCTAAAGATTGAGAGAGTCTAGGAGTGCACGTTTCCAAAATAATAATTATTGCATGGCAGCCTGGCACACATCTTCAGCTTCAGCTGCAGAATCAACCAAAAAGAGATAAACTCACTCACCGGTGGAATGACGAGGTAGAGGCTCAGTTCATCCGCAGCATCGAACCGCTCCAGCAGTGGCGGCATCGGAGTCCACTGCGTCACCACCAGCCGCCGGAGACGGCGGCCAGTCTCCGTGATGTGGTGCCGCGCCGGGTCGTAACCGTCGTCCCATTCTACCTCAGACACGATAGGAGCGGCGATGCGCACCTCCTTATAATTGCATCCGTGCACCTGCAGCCACTCCAGTCTCGGAGCAACGACGTCGAGCCTGTTTTTGACGCCGACAACACGCAGCGCGAGCCTCTCGAGCGTGTCGGAGCTGACGGAGATGTCGCCGTCGACGTCCAGCATGGCCAGCGAGAGCACACAGAGGCACGGGCACTGCAAGGACACGACGCGGCAGAGGTCGCCGCCGCTCACTCGGCCTAGTTTTATGCTTAGGATGCGCAGCTCCGCGAACACACCGGCGCCAGCTGGGGGTAGCCGGAGCCGGAAGTCGTACACGAACTTTGCGCTGAACCATAGGGTGCTTTCAAAGATCGGCACCTCGAGCTCCTCCTCCACGTCGTCCTCAGGCAGCGGCGGTGGTTCCTTGCAGGGCAGACAGACGTGGACCTCTCTCGGCGAGCGCGACACGGCGAACCGCAGCCACGCGGCGGCGCGGGCGGCGGTGACGGGGCGCGACATATCGTCGAGGCCGACAGCGAACCTTTCCATCGCGGGCGCGGCGTACGCGGTGATGGCGGCGTCGACGGAATCTGGGGAGTCGTCGTCGTCGAGGAAGATGAAATCCGGGACCTTTGTCCAGACGCGGCGCCATCGGCTGGATAGGACGCTGGTCCGCGCGGCTGCTGCGGTGGAGTGCAGGCCGGCGAGGATGGTGACGAGGAGATCCTCGGAGAGACCGCTGATGCGGTCGAGGCCCGAAGCGGCGCGCGAAGACTCCATTAGGGTTTGTGGCGGCGAATGGCGAAGTAGAGAAGGCGTCGAGGAAGGCAAAGTTGAAAAGGCGTACGTCGAACGGATTATTTGGGCAGGTATAACGAATAGCTGTTTGCTCCCTGTATTTTTTACATTTTTTATTTACATGTTTTAATTATTACTTTTGTTCTTTTTTAAAAAAACATTAGTTTTGTCCTAAGTGAAGTATTTCGGAAATGTTTACACCCGACCGTCCTATCGTTCAGCCGCCGTACGCGAGTCGCGACACCAGTCCAACGGTCCAACATCATGTCCTCTTGTCCATTCGTCCTCTCTATAAGCCTCTCAGCCACTCATCCTCTCCACAAGGCTCTCCACAGCGGTGCCGTGACAGTGCTCCGTCGTGCCACCTTGGCATTCTTCATGGCATCCGGGCGCCGGCTACCGATCGGCATCTCCACCGCGCTCCAGCGCCCTGCCCATCTTCCTCCCTCTCCATGGCGCCTCCTGCCCATCGCGGCCGCGCACCACGACCTTCTCCAGCATGCGGTCCGTCTTCTCCACCGAAGCGACCCACCACGGCCTTCTCCACCGGACCTATTGCGGCCTTCTCCACCGGAGCGCGCGAGCTTCACACCACCGCCGAGCTCTACACCGGTGAACTCCACACACCGATGAGCTTTCATTCCCAAGCAGAAGGAGACCTCCATTCCCAAGCACCAAGGAGATGTTGCACTAAAAGCGCATGTTGCAAACATATATTTCAGTGTTATGTTGCAAGTGTTTAATCTCGATGTTGCAAAAGTAGATCAAAATATTGCAAAAATAGATCAGGATGTTGCACATGTTGCAATGGCTATATACGTATGTTTCAAGTGTATGTTCCAAATGTTTCATCTGTATCAAACGTATGTTGCAAGTATTTATCATCTGGATGCTGCAAAAGTAGTTATGGATGTTGCATATATATACATGTTGCAAGCGTATTTTTCAAGTGGTTTCAGGTGTTTCATACGTATGTTGCAAGTATTTCATTTGGATGTTGCATTTGTTTGCAATAGTTTTCAAGTGTTTTTCTGGTGTTTTTGCAAGTGTTTCAGATGCATGTTTCAGGTGTTTCATCTGTCTTCTTTGTATGTTGCATCAGCATGTTTCAAAAGTAGATCGAGGGTTGCACATGGGATACGCGTGGGAAGCGGCTGGTGGCACGGGCCCGTTGCTGGGGCACTCGCCTTCAAGCCCGACGAGCTGGGGTGCTCACTCGCTGAGTGGGTATCATCTGACGCTAGCGCCCCGATGAAAGGTCCTTGTTTGGTTTTGGTAATTGAGTGACAATCCTAGGTGGACTAATTGTGTTTATGTGAGATACACAGGTGATTAGTCCATAGGTACATGTGTGTGAGCAACATATGCCATGGAGGTGGAAATGGCTCGGAGATGTTGCAAAGCTCACACATGTGATGATGAAGGAGCTCATTGCACATGAGACATGACATTGAGTCATGTGATCACGGTGAAAAAGATCAAGACATGACTTGGCTCGACGGACCGGTTGCAAGTGTGAAGGGCAAGTTGAGTGATGACTTAGCGCCGATGAACCGAGGCAACGGTGAAGAGCAAGTGAAGTCAAGATCTCAATGAACCAATATGATCACGTGATGATATGAAGTGGATCATATCATTGTTGATCGTGTTGGTGCATGTGTTGCATCGACATTGGAGGAGATGGAATGGAATGCGCAAGGCAAATATATAACCTCTAGGGCATTTTATTTCATCGGTCATAGGTGTGTAGAGAAGTTGATGACCGGGTTTAGGATAGATGGTCGTACTATCAAGAGGGGCAAACTTGTTTGCATATCGGTCATCTAGTGCCACTCGAGTGATCTAACTTTGCATCGTTGCTAGGATCGAGTGGCGCGGCAAGTTGAGTGGTTAACTCCTTGAAAAATGTTTGTGAAAAGCTAACACGCGTGCACAAGGTGTTGTACACTTGGTGGTGTTGGCGCATTTGCAAAGGAGAAGAAGTTGGTGAATTGAAGGAGGTGTTTTTCACTGTCAAACAGTGACCGGACGCTGAGTTTGAAGTGACCAGACTCAGGGTTCCAACGTTCGGTCAATTATAAAAGAAAGTGGTGCTCTCAGGCTCGATTTGCCCTGTGACCGACTCAGAGAAGAAAAGTGACCGGACTCTGGCTGAACACTATTCAACATCCGGTCCTGCTAACATGGTGGCGCGCAGAGAGGTGGAGGAGGAGCGGACGCACTGGCGCATCCGATCATGGTGGACCGGATGCGTCCAATCAAGAAAAACCGGCTCTGGTGCCTTACTAGAAACGACCGGACTCTAGTGGTTAAGCGTCCAGTCACATGCGAACAGACGCATCTGGTCGTGTTTTGGAGGCTCTGGGAGCTCTCTGTTGTTGACTGGACGCTGAGGTGTGGTGAGTCTGGTCAAGCTAAGCAGCGCGTCCGATCGGTGGATGAAGGCGCGTGCACGAGGTAGTTGTTGGCGGCAACAGCTATTTCAAACGGCTAGTACCACGTGGAGGTGGTACAGCGATAGGACGCAGGGACCGGTGCGTCCGGTCACTTGGACCTACGCGTCCGGTCGTCCCAAAATCTACTCAGTGAAGGGGTAACGGCTATTTTAGCCCGTGGGACTATAAATAGAAGTGTTGGTTGGCCTTTGGCTCAGAGCGGAGCACCCTTGAGCCTTGGTGGCTTGTGTATGTGTGCTTGGGAGCCCTCTAACTAACTTGAGCTTGATAGTGTTCATCCGATCGAGTGAGTGAGCGATTCTAGTACGATTGCATCAAGTGGTACTAGGTGATCGAGTTGTAAGCCGATGGTGCTTGTTACTTTTGGAGGTTGCCACCTCCTAGACGGCTTGGTGGTGGTATCCGTTGAAGCACACAAAGAAGATTGTGCGGTGCTTCAGAGAAGTGACTACGAGGGGGGTTGTGCTCACTCCGCGGGAGCCGCGAAGAGCAACTTTAGTAGAGCGAGACGTAAAGGGCGACCAGTGGTCCGGCCGGGTCAAGTGCTAGAGCTTATGGTAAGCACTCCACGTGAGAGAGTGTGACTTATGTGTCACCACTAGCAAGAGGACCGACGGCAACCTTGGAGCTTGTCTCAACGGGACTAGCGTGTTGGCAAGCATGTGAACCTCGGGATAAAAATCATCGTGTCATCCTTGTATTCCTGTTAGTTTGCATCCTCGTTATACAAGCTTGTATTTACTTCATTTACATTGTGCTTGTGTAGTTGCTCTTGTAATTAGTTAGCTTGTGTAGCTCACTAGTTATCTTCTTGCTTGTGTAGCATAGAAGTAGCTACATTGCGTGGCTAATTTGGTTTATGTAACCTTGTTAGTCACATTGTTTAGTTTGTGTAGCTAAGTATTTGCGCTCTCTAATTTGGCATTGGTTGCCTTGTTATTGAGCATTGCTAGTGAGCTTAGGAGTTTTGTACCTTTGTTGCATAATTATGATCTTTATAAGATGCTTGTGAACTTAGATAGAGGGGTATAGTCTTGGCTAGACCGTTAGTTTTAATTTCGTATTTATCTTGGTTAGCCGACACGTTTAATTTTAGAAAGGACTATTCACCCCTTCTAGTCCGCCATCTCGACCCTACACCCGGATCGGACGTCCAAGCGCCAGCAAGAAGTCGAGATATCTTTTGGCTATTAATTAAAAAAATACAATATAGGTGAGTAACAAGTGAACATTGATGTGCGGATGCTACATCACTAACAAGTCAAAAAGTGATGAATACTAACTTACTCCATCCATACCGAATTATAAGATATTTTGGCTTTTCTAGATACATAGTATTTGCTATGCATTTAGATATACACTATGTCTAGATACATAATAAAAGTAATGTATTTAGAAAAGCCAAAACGTCTTATAATTTAGAACGGAGGGGTATGAGTTATGACACATGTCAATGCATGAGCGTGACAACTATGGACTGTGGACCTGGGAAGCCCATTTTCTAACAACTATGATACCTATCAAATTGGTTAGTTGGCATGATAATTAGGAAGTGTTTGGCAGGACTCCTCATGAGGAGCTCCTCCGAGGAACCGGAGCTGTTTTGGACCGGCTTCTCTGTTTTCCACTGAAAACAGCTTTTGCCAAAAACGGTAAGTAGGGTTCCTCCGAATGAGTTGGAGCCGGAGAGAAGCCCTGCTAAACACACCCTTAATAAGGATATAAACTACAATAGATATATCATTGGGAATGCCCTAAGAGCAACATTTCCGCTAGGCATACCTTGGTTCCATAAAAATATTTGAAAAGTGCAGTTCAAAATAATTAAGCTATCCTATGTTTTAGTTTTTTAGATAGAGCTATGTATTTACATATACATTGTATCTAGATAAATAGTAAAAGCAATATGTTTAGAAAAAGTCAAATCGTCTTAGATCGAAGGCAACAAAATTTCAAGCATTTTTTGAGGTGCTTTCGCTCGGGCGTGCACATGGAGGCAATAACATAATATAAAATTTCAGGTGGAATTTTAGATAACATAACAAAAATTTTAACTGTCCATGTCCTCATGCAGATTAGACTTCTCAGTCGCGTCAATTTATTTGTAGACGGCAGAAGAGAAGGAGACGGCGCATGCATATACCGCATTGCATTTCCGCAGTGTAAACCTCTTTGCAACACAGTGGTCAAAAAATGCAGTGACCTGTAAATTAAAGATGAAAGTTATGCGGCACACATGAAGTTGCAGTAATCAAGTTAAGTACAATGTTACCACGACAAAAGCAGTTCAAGTGGGGCACAGAAAGCTACATTCTCTCTGCAAATATTTGGATGGCAAGCAACATCCACTATTCCACTCGGCAGAAAAAAAAAAGGAATACAGTGTATGTAATCGACTGTGCATGGCAACTTCAACCATTAGCGAGAGTATTCATAGGGTGCTCCTTGTGGCGGTTGTGTGGCTTCTCTTTGCTTGGCATACTCAGCGAAAATAACCCAACCATCAAGGAACTGCAGGAAGATATAGTTGTGTGAGGAGAAAATTAAAAAAAGGCCGAATAGACAATGCTTCCAAAATTAAAATGTAAGACATTATATATCAGTTAACAGGGTATACACCCGTTCTTTGGTTGTCATGAAAGACGATTTTGACATGTTCATATTTCTGATGTCCTCTACATTTAGGATTATCAGGAACATTCAATGTGGTTAACGTCTTCCATGAATAAAACAGTGAACTTGGAAAACTAATTGCAACCAACCACATTCACTCACCTTTCCATCCATGCCTTTTATGGCCTCACCAGCTTCTTGTACAGTCGCATATTTGACAAAGCCAAATCCTCTAGAGTATCCAGATATTCTATCAGTGATTACTCTTGCTGCATACACAGTGTTGCTTCATCACATCGATATATGGAATCAGCACTTGAAGAAAAAGCTGAGTAAAATTCAATATATACCTTCAACAACCTGACCAAATTTCGAAAATGCTTCCTTAAGTCCATCGGATGTTGTGCGTTTATTTAACCCTGCATACATGCCTCTGTTACTACTACCACAATATATACCCACATTCCTAGTTTCGCACATGATGAGTGCGTGCTGTGATGATAACAAACAGTGAACCAATATTAATCGATGATGAGACAATACACCTTGAATTTTCCAAACCTCTGTGGAACTAACTATATTTGTATATGATTATTTATTGTTTTGGTGGTGTAATTTATATTTGCATAGTAATAACTTTATGGAGAAAAAATAATCGAACTTCAGCAGAGTTATTTCACAGATTCAGATATCGCTGCTTTTTTCCTTCAATGAAGAGACTGACAGTTGACACAGATAATCGGATGAACTATTGACAAAAAAGAAAAAAATGTAGGAAGGTACTAATGCATCGAATCTTGCAATAACTTTTAGCTCCACCTTTCTTCCATACAGGAAAGTGGACTACTCAAACCAGCACTAATCACTGGCATCTGCAATGCGATGCGTTCTGCTTCCAAGTTTACCAATACTTGGGCTTATAAAAGGTCAACTAGTCGACAATCAGTCTCTATGCGCCCGTGCAGTACTTCTCTTGTTCAGAGTGGGTGGTTTCAGAATAGAGCAAATCGGTTCAGTTCGCAAGATAAATGCTGTTCGGCTACGACTAGTATCAGTTTAGACTGTTTAGTTCATCAGCCAGCCCTATCAAAATTGGAAGTGACTACTAGCTCGCAGGTTTCAGACAAAAGTAAACAACTTCGCCCATTCCTAATCCTACCGCAAACATCCACCGCCTGCTAGCACAACAAACAACTAAATAAAGCGCGCAGCATAAGAATCAAAGCGAGGGTTTCTCTTGCAAAACATGCAAAGAGGGGAAAAAATTGGAGCGAGGTTGGTTGCCTGAGACGAAGAGGTTGTTGCAGGGCTCTGCGGCGGGGCGCGCGGCGGGAGGAGGCGGTGCAGCGAAGGCCGAGACGGAGAATAGCCGCCGGAACCCGGCACGAGCCGCCGCCGCCATTCCGATGCCGAGTCCCCGGAGAATCGGAGAGGCGAGGAGAGTGCGGCGCGACGGGGTTGCTTCTCGAGATTGCAATGGGCCAGGCAGAACCACCCGACGGCCCAATCCCAATACACATACGCTGGCCACCTGCCACTCACGCTTGGTCAAGCACCCCGAAGGCCCAAACGGCCCGACCCAATCGCTCGTGCCCGGACTGGAATACTGGATGGCGGGTGGCTCGGCGTCCATGGCGTCGCTGTTCCGTCCGATCGTCCGGCTATTCCAAGCGAAGGCACCGGGGCCGGAGCTTCTGGATCTCTATGACGACTAGTGATTTGCGCGCGCCCATGCGCGCGAGTGATGGCCGTAGTTCTATCTAGCAAATGGAATAACGCGTGTTATAGAAAGCATGTACACAATGGTGGATTTTTTTTCTTGTTTTTGAAACACACAGATAAGGCATCTTTCATGGGAAATAAAATATTCATAGCTGTAGTCTGAAGAACAGGCTTGCATAGTTCAGAACACTGAAAGATAGCAGTTGCACGGACACGTACATGGTTGCTTGGCATGCAGCCATTTCTCCAGGGGAATAGTAACAAAAGAGAAGAAAATACATAGTTGGCTACAGAATGGCAACACTATTCAACCGTCGCTGGGGCATCTGTTCTCTTGGCCGAAGTCTGCTTTAGTTTGAGAAGCATGGCGCTGTTCAAGACTGGATCTTCAAGAAGAGACAACAGCTCACCACGGAGGTTCACCAAGGACTGTGATAGCTGCGCAGAGAATCGATCGCATCTCGCTTCTTGGCAATGAAGTGATTTTCGGCGTGGTTTTCAGCGACGATGAAGATGGAACGGCGGTCGAACTTTCCTGACAGCCCGAATCAAAGAAGGTCAGGGAGCCACGGAGTGCTGCATCTTTTGCCTTGATGTTGTTCTTCAGTTTAGTCGCCTCATCTTCAAACAACATGGACCATGAGGTAGAGCAAAAAGGTCTTCTCTAAGTTCAGAAACATGTGCGGCGTTGTAGTCATCAATTTACACCATTTTTTCGTTTTCAGGGTAATTTAGTGCAGCGTGATCGATAGTTTTTTGTGTTTTCCAAATTTCCAGAAAATTCTTTTGTTTCCTTGTCATAGGATTCTCTAGCCAGTATATTGCCAATCTTGAGACATGGTATGCACCTCGTCCAAAGATGTTCACGTGGAGCTGCAATACACAGTTTGGTCAACTGAGGAAAGCTATAACAATGGCTTGGTCAAGGAAATCTGCTACAAGAAGCCAATGTTTGAACTCCATTGTGATGCAATGCTATCGTGGAAAGGGACACTCAAATTTAATACCAAGACATTGCAATAAAAATAGAACAGGTGATGTCCCACTGAAGCAACAGTTATAGACAAATAAATTGCAGGACATGGAAGCAAAGTTCATGGCTATAAATCTGTCATTGGGGTTGCAAAGGGGGGAAGGAAAAATGCAGACCTGATCAAGTATAAGGTGAGCAATGGCACCTGATGCCCCACTGATTTTCACTAATTTGCTCAAATACAGGTACCTGCAAATGGAGACTTATTATCAAATAAGCAGTAGTGGCAGAAAAAGCTAGCTACACTGCATACTGATAATTACTCTTGAAGCTCAGAGAAGATACCAGACATGTCAGGCTACATAAAGAAAATAAAACAACTGATAAACCTTCTTAAGATGAAATGCGGTCCTCTGTACACGATAAACTGAAGATGTAGCTAATCTAGGAGTAAGCTAACAATGGCATAAACAATAGTATAAAATAAATATTATAGATGGCATCAAGTCACGCACCAAGCCTAGATGCCCTTGGGGAACTAAAACATCAAAGCTGTCATCATTATGCTTTCAAGAGGGAAGTAGCCATAGATCCAAAGCATAAGGTGAGCAACAACTTTGCTAAAGCAACATGGCTGGGGAATCAATCTCATAGGTCAAGAAACAAAGGATTACATCATATGTACATTTCAGATCTTTTTCACCATTATGTCTCACTACTTATATCAAAGAGCAACATGTTCTTAGTAAATGATGATGGCTGTCAAACAGATTATATGAGAAAACTATGAAACAACAAATCTTGCAGAAAAAAGAGGAATTATCAAAATAATCAAAACCCATGTCTCCAGGTCTATGCTGGTTAGAATCATCTAAGTATATGCACTAATCAAGAAGCCAATAATTAACAATGATCATCTTATCTGCAAATACATATAGTGGCATAATTATTCAAAATTAGTGTTAAGACCAAATCTGATCAGATGGAAATAGAAGCAACGGCATGGCCAACTCCATTCAGAAATAGAAAGCGAGCTCGATTCATTGAAATTTCAGAGTAGTCATACCCAGAAACATCAGAGTCATAATGACTGGACCAAATGTTGGTGACACCAATCATAAATTTAGATTGGATGGTGTAAGTATTTTTTTTGAGCAAGTGTGTACCTTTTGGCTCAACCCCGAGGCTTGCAGCTCTAAAGAAGCCAATGTACTGCTTAATATGATATATCACATTTCTCAGCAAAACAAAGAAGCCAAATAGCCAATGTAAAAAACTATTTCAGGTTTTGACACTACATGAGCAATGTTCTAAAGTTTCTTTTTTTCTTCATGCCAACCAGACCATCAACCCTGAGTATTAATGTTTTTTCTCTAAAGTCGTATAGAAATTAGAAATTGAAAGAAGGAAATGACATTTACCTTATTGTATAATCATGTCTTCCTGGCCTGCACCCATGTGAAAGGACTATATTTTTGTCACTGTGTGCAACTCTGCAATTAAGCCACTATTCATAAGCTTAGTGGTAAATTCACCTACATAAGCTCAGAATAAAAATGATTGGCATAAAAATAACCAAATCCATCCAATGTAACTGTTCCCCGCTGCAACAAACAAAAATTAACTTGAACCCAATTTAGAGTACCTAACCAGCAGAAGCAACTGACAAACTTAATCTTTTCATTTCAGCTATTTCAGTCACGGTCGGATTATAAATCTGGGAAACATGTACAGCTAAGCTATAAACTTCCACCTAATTTTACTAATTTTTGTAGATATCACGTACATTCGTAACGTTGAAAATCGAGCACCAGCATCTTAATTCTCTTTTCTCTGTATGAATGAACTAAAAGCTTCAGATATATGGGACCCAAGTGAACAAAGCAAGCCAAACAACTCAGCTAAACCAGGAAACTTCGTCAGCTTTACTAAGTGAACAAGGCAAGAAAAACAAGGCCAAAAAAAAGAAAAAATCATCAAAATGCCAGGCACGTCTATAGAACGGCAATCTCATCATGAGCTACCAAATGTAACACTGCCACTGTCGAAGAACCATACCGGCGCAAATGTAGATAGCATGAGGGGTCGAGCACAGCTCCGCTGCAGGTCCGGCAAAGCTCCTCCGTAGGCCTGGCGCAGGTCTACTGCAGCTCCTCCACACCACAGATCTAGCGCCCCCACTTCAACCCCGTTCAGCACCTAGAAACCACGCGCGGTGAGCCGCGCGGAGAGGCAGGCCATCAGGAAGGCAGCAATCCACGGACGGAAAAAAGGAAGAAAAAGCGAGGATCAGGATAGGCCAGGGCGACTCACCTCGCGCAGCGAGTAGGACGGAAGGGGAGAAAGAATGGAGGTGTGTGTGGCGTCTTTATCCATGTCGTCGTGGCTTGCGTGGCGGATCCCGGTCGCGGAGTCGTTGAAGTGCACGCCGGACGCCGCGCCCACCAACGGGACCCTCCCTCGCCGCACCGCCGCGCTGGGGCGCGCGCTCACCCCGGCCTGCACCCATGCCGGTTAGCCGCGCTCGAGCCCATCTACGCGTTGCGCCGGTGGGCGCCCTCGCCCTAGTCGGCCCGCACCCGTGTCGCCGGGCGCGTCCTCGCCCCGCGCCCGCGCCGGTGTGCCGCCGCGTCAGGAGAGAGAGGGAGAGATTGCCGGGGATCGGAGGGCGGCGCTAGGTATCTAGCTCGAGGGAGGGACCGGAGGGAGAGGAGACGGAGCGGAGAAAAAAGCAGGAGCTTGAGAGACAGGGGGTTAGCTAGATATCTTCGGTGCGGGGAACTGGACTGCGACGCGCTGAGACTGTGGCAGGACCCACAGGCTCCTTCGCCAATGGGTGTCCAACAGCAGCCTTCTGTCCCAGGCTTCACAGGCCCACATTGGATCCTTCAGCCAATCCTTGGTCGACAACAATCAGAAGCTGGCCAATCCTGAATCGACAACAAAAAGAGGGCACAGATCAGCTGACCGAGCTCTGATCCAGCTCCTGATCAACGCGATCACGGCCACCGACCAGGCATCGAACGACCACCATCTCGCGTCATGGCCAAACGTTCACAAGAACCACATATCACGAATCAGATGGGCAATTTTTTTTTTTTTTTGCTACCGTGGACATGCTGGCCTCGCGAGCTGGCCACAACGAATTTACACTTTAAATCTCCTCCAGGAGATCCTCCTGCGTATCGGCTTCCCCGCCGACGTCATCCGCGCCTCCGCCGCATGCGTCACATTCCGCCGCCTCGTCACCGAACCCTCCTTCTTCCGCCGTTACCGCTCCCTCCACCCTTCGCTACTCCTCGGCTTCCTCGACACCAAAACCTTCCAGCTGGCCCAGGCGCCCCACCCCAACGCTCCTGCCGCCCGCGCTCTCTTCCGCGCCGCGAGCTTCTCCTTCGAGGACCACCTCCCTCGCCGCCAAGCGTTGTACCGCATCTGGCCCTGGGTGATCTGTGACCTCCGCGACGGCCGCGTCCTCCTCAAGTGCACACCGCTGGGATTCAAATTCAACGCCTTGGACTGGTTGCCGGAGCTCGCGGTGTGCGACCCCTTTGTCCAGGCGGCGCCTGCTGCTACCTCGCATACCCGACGACCTACTCGCCTCCGTTCAGGTTCAGCGATATAACATTCCATGTTTCGAGGCCTTCCTTGTCCCTTCTTCTACAGAAGAGGAGGATGAGAGATCGTTCAGAGTGATAAGCATGGCCATGACGGATTGCATGACAAAGCTGGCGGTATTTATCTTCTCCTCGAGCTCTGGCCGCTGGAGTCTCGGTACGTCTACAAATTTGGATACTCTTAATGTACCACCAGACAGAAAGATGCTGAAACAGCCCCATCTTGCTCATGGCTGCTTCTTCGATCTGGAAAGTGGAGAAGAAGGACAAGTTGCTCAAGCTTGACAGCATAATGGAGCTCTCCACATACGACCTCCTGCCTGGCCACCACGAGCGCTATGTTGTCATTGCGGAGGCAGGTGAAGGAAGACTTGCGTTGTTTAGCCGCCCCCGCCCACGCTCTTGTGAAGAAACATGTGGATTATTACACCAGCATTATGCAAACCAAGAGCAACAGGGACAATGAGTGGCAGATGAAGACCATAATCCCACTTCCCGCCAATCATTGGTATGAAATTTTTGGTGCAGCTAACAGATACATTTTCCTATTAGGCTTTCCAAGATTCCGAGGACTAGGTCCTGCAGTGTGTTTATCCCTCGAGGTTAAGAATTTGAAGATTCAGAGGGTATGTTCCGCAATTCCCCGAATTGGCGTCCTGCACCCGTATTTCGGGTACCCACCACCCATGTCACCGAAAGTGATACCAAGTGGTATGCATTTGATCATTGCCTTCACTGGCCTCCTCTATTTTTTGCTCTCAGATGCTGCCATGTGCCCTGATTCAGGAATAAGTTTATATTATTATTAAGCTTGTTTTGCTTCTCCATCTTAACTCTTCTCAACCTTCTGTTGACCATTGAGGATGGGTGTGACATTCCACAAGTTGCTCGTCATATTAACATATTGTAAAGTGCTTAACTAGTCTCTGTTGTTAAAATCACAGTTAGGAAGTCATTTATTTATCTACCACAGTTCCCCTCCCTTTGTGGTTCAGCAGTGGGTTCCATACCATGTTGATTGGACATTTTTTCTGTTTGAACTATGTCATGCAATATCCCAAAGTGATTCAGAACATACAATTTGTTTTTTCTTTATATATAGCTATTTCATGACTACTGGATTTTTATAGCAAAAGAAGAAAAAATATAGTAATAAATTTCAAGAATAAATGGTTCAATGAGATCATCTAAGAAATTGTTTATCCATGAGCATTTGGACAAGCATAAGTTCGAATTGTATAGCTAATAGGGTATTATATCGGCATAAATTTCACTGGACCTGATGCGGCTGGCTCGTTAAACTTTACTTGCTATATATACTACATCCGGTCAAGAAATTTCTGCAGAGATAGTTTACAAGAGTACTAAGTTATCACATCCGCCCTTCGAACTGCCTTGTCGTTTAAGTTGAGTTGTGACTTCATCCATTTGCAGGATTAAAGTCTCGTCCAGGGTCATGAACCATGACTTCTTTGGACCCATACTGCTGCTGTGGATGGATGCAGACGACTATGCTTGTACTTTGTGCTTGGTGCGTTTTTGGATAGCACATACTCCAGTTTATTGATGTTTGTCGGAATCTAGCCGTCGTTCGGTCTGATGTGGTTAACAGCTTACCAAGCTGTAGTTGCTCTGCATATCCAAGGTGCAGATGTTTATGCAATTTCGAACTTAATTGTTGAATTTAAAAATACTTAATTATTATATTGTACTTGTAAATTTATACCGGTGTTGTAGGATAAATTCTACGATTGTATACCGAATTATTATAAATGGGTTTAGCGGATTGCAGAAGAAGGTTTTGGTGCCACATACCCCTGTAGGAAAATTCTATGTCATAACCCAATTGCTAAATGGATTTTACCAAATTATATGTAAAAGTCTGGTGCGGAATACCCAATGAAAAAAAATTCTAGATCCAGCAACAACCGCCACATTCCTATAAAATGTCAAAAGGGTTACTTCCCAATAGCTGGTGTCTAATGAAATGGTGTCCCCTGACTTTAGCACTATTAACGGTTCATGGCTCTACGACTCTACCACATCTGTGCCAACCGCCAAGCATGATGCCCTTGAAACATTAGCCAAGCCAGGGATGTATATTCCATCTCAGGGACGTGCTTAGCGTAAGGCAGACGAACAGGGGGAATTGGCATGTTCATCAGCCTTTCTGCAGCCATGTGGAGTTTTGCTTCAAACCAATTCGTATTTAAATCAGTATGGATGAAAAGCTATTTATCGTTGTTACGATGATCCATCTGTATCTGTATGCGTACTGTCTCCAAGATGGAGGCTGTGAAATAGGGTGAAAAAAATGAGAGTGAAACTCAGTTTTTCGGTGACGAATTGAGCGAAGGATGTTGTTCTGAATGTTCAGTTCTGCCAAATTTCTGCCATGCATACTCTTATTGTGTGTGAGTTAATAATAAAACGAAAATTTTAAGGAAGCTCCTGACCTCATATCTGTGCAACGCTCATACCCACCACGACGATGCTCTCAGATTTAGCTGCGACAATCTGGAAATGCCCGTGTCTACACAACAAAGGCACACTTCGGCACTTCGCCTGCAAACTTGAGCTGAGCTGCAGGGCCTATGTCGTATATACAAGGCGACAATGCAGCATTTGAGCTGTGGAATCTGCAAATTTGGGCGTCAGTTTCGTTATACGCTAATATTTGGCCACGGGCGTCCGCCCTCGTCTGGACGCTGTCTTTATAGCCCTACGCGGCGGATAGGCTAACAGACGTGCTCTTTCCCATCTCAATCGTATCTGGCTGTTGGAGCATCACCGCGTAACGGCCGCCACACCGCTCCCTTCACCTACCGCGTGCAGCACCCTTCCCCCTGCCGTGCCGCACTCCATCGCCGGCCGTGCCGCACCACCATCCCATGCCTCGCCCCTATCCACCGGCGTGCCCCCGTCCACCTCGCGTCGTCACTGCCATGGCGAGCGCCACGCCACCACCACCCCGGTGCCACTAGGAGGAGGTTGCCGCCAGTCCGGACTTCGTCTCCCGTGGCAGGAAGGGGAGGCCTGCGTTCGCTCTCGACGTTCCCTCTGGACCTGAGCTTGCTGGTTACCACAGTCCCCCACCAGGTAGGCCATGGCTGTCGGTGACGCCGTGTTTGACGTGTTCCAGGTGTTTCCATCTTATGTTTCAAGTCTTTCATCTCAATGTTGAAAAAGTCGATATGAGGTGTTGCATATGTTGCAATGGTAATATACGCATGTTGCAAACATATGCTTCAAGTGTTTTAGACGTTTGTTTCAAATGTTTTATCTGGATGTTTTAAAAGTTGATCTAGTGTTGCACATGTTGTAATGGCTATACATGCATGTTTCAAACGTATATTTCAAGTGTTTTATATGTTTCTAGACATATGTTGCAAATGTTTCATCTAGATGTTTTAAAAGTAGATCTTGTGTTCCATGCCACTGTCCGCATGCTGCTGCTGGTGCGCCGCCGTGGTTCACGTGCCGGTGCTCGAGGCCTGCAGGCGCCTCCACAGCGCACATCCACAAAAAGCGGGGCTGGTGAGCATGGGTCGCGGTTCCACCGTGCGGACGTGGGTTGGGCACGGGGCGTGGTTTTGCCGTGCGGGACGCAGGGATGGGCGCAACCCACGATTCTAGAGCTGGCGCTGGTTGGGAATGGGACAGAGCGTGTGGGATGCAATGCGAGCACGGGAGCTGCGTCCAGATCGTAGGCATGGGGCCGAACGTCCGGACGCTAGCCTTACCGGTCTTTTTAACCGCCTTGGTGTATAGGATCAGCAAATTTGAAGTCCCATCACACTTGCAGGGTTAAAAATGCAAAGTACGATGTTGGCCGTCGTTCGTTGGGCATCTGTTCTAAGGCCTTACCGAGTGTTTGCCTGTGCGGTCATCCATACTACAAAGCGTCGTACAAGTTTGGTTTTGAGATCTGGAGCTATTCACAGCGTGGGTACAATTAGATGAAAATCAATTTCTGGATATTTGTATAATCCAGAGTGCTTGTAACGTATTGATATATCCGACTATTATCTAATATAATTCCTCTTTCGTCGCAAAAAAAAAGAAGATGAGCAACCTAAAAGAGATGGACCAGATTTGAACCGGACCATAGGTCCATTCCGGCTTTTGGGGAAGTGCTTTTGGGAAAGTCAAACTGCATTATCTCGGACGATGGATGAGCACAAAGACGGCCCAACACGGTGATTACTCCAGTCCGGCGTCCAACTTTGCCCTGTATCCAAACGCCAAGTCAAGAGTTTGACTTTCCCCTTTCAGCCGGCCCCGGCAAAGCCCCGATCACTCGTTCCCGTTCCTCTCGTAGCCGGAGCCGGCCGAGGTTCCCGCGCCGGCAGATTCTGTCTACGGTGCCGGTAATGCGCCACCTCGAGGCCCCGGCGTCGACATCGCCTAGGCGGCCGGCCGCCCTCGCCGACGACCTCCTAGAAGAGATCCTTCTCCGTGTCGCCTCCCCCGCAGACCTCGTCCGCGCCTCCGCCGCTTCCACCTCCTTCCGCCGCTTCGTCACCGACTCAACTTTCCTCCGCCGGTACCGTTCCCTCCACCGCCGCTCCTCCTCGGCTTCATCGAGACCGTGTCTTCTAGCTTCCAATCCGCCGAGGCGCCCCACCCCAACGCCCCCGCCGCCGGCTTCTCCTTTGACTATACCTCCCTCCCGCCAGATGGAGCCCGTGGGCGGTCTGTGACGTCCGCGATGGACGTGTCCTCTTCAAGAGCAGCCCTATCGGCTTTAGAGGTGTCACCCTCCCGGATCTAGCCGTGTGCGATCCCTTGTCCCGGCGGTACCGGCTTCTGCCCCCCATTCCCGACGACCTCGCCTCCGTCCACGTCCAGATGCAAAACTGTCGATCTTTCGAGGCCTTCTTTGCACCTACTGGAGAAGAGGAGGATGAGACATCGTTCAGAGTGATCGTCAGGGCACATTGCCCGATCAAGTCTGTGCCGTTTGTCTTCTCTTCAGGCTCTGGTGTATGGAGTGTCGGTACTACGTGGAACGATTATTTAGTATGGCTGCATCTACTGGAAAGTGATATACATCAACATGTTGTACAAGCTCAACATCAACGCGATGGAGTTCTCCACCGTTGACCTCCCGCCTCATCACAAAAAGCGTGATGTTATCATTGTGGAGGCAGGAGAAGGCAGAGTTGGGGTGTTTAGTCATGTTAGGTTTAGCAAGTCTGTGTATTATGCTATTCAGCAAAAGGAGGGCAAGATTGCCGATGACTGCCACACAGAAACTGTAATCAGTTTACCTGGCCATAATT